CAACTCTATACACCTTTTATATAGCAAGTAGCTTTACTTCCTAGCCATAATTCATTTTAGTATTATGTTAAGTGAGACTGTCATTTGAAGGTAAAGTATTTGAAAATTATACGAAGGTTAGGTTAGGTTACTGGGGCTGTCCGAAGACGCACTCAAACCACGAGGTCCATTGTAATACACTTAAGAATTTGACACCTGCCTCTATAACCATTTGGTAATGGATACAAAGCCATTGACACGTGCTAGGGAATTAAAACTTATCTCTCTTAAAGAACTAGAAAAGTGCGACACTGGTAGGAGAGTCTATATCTTGCGAAAGCAAGACACTGTAGCAGAATGTGTATTGGTGATTCCTCTTCGTCATTCTCCATGCAATATCTACAGTGCAAGGAGGTCTTCAGATAAGTAAACTGAAATGACTAAATTTAAAAGATACTATCTCTCATAGATTTCGTTTTACAATAAAGTTAAGTCCGCTTGAAAAAATATATAATCTCATTCAATTAAATAAAAATATTATTTATTTAAAAATATTCATATCCTTCAGTTATAAACCATGTTTTATATATATTGTGTTTATTTTTTTAAAACGTTATAAACATAAGCAATCTTTTGTTATTATATTTTATAATTCATTATTGCAAAAAGTATTATTGTTAATTTATAATATTTTCTTTTGCAGAATTTAAAACGATTTTTATTTTGTGAATTTCACACAAAAAATGACTATTTTTTTAAAATTATAGTCAGATCGCACCTGGTTTATTGGATTGAATCTTTAATTTTTGGGTATTTTTATGCTTTGCACATGTTACTCTATTCAAAAAATAGGTGTACATATGTACATATATAAAAAACTTAAATATAATTGCTAATATCAAGTGTTTGACTTGATTAGAAAACATTTGCTAGGTAGCACGTGAATGTAAATTTGGTGACTTAACTTTTAAGTTGTAAAATTTTTAAGAAGCACATGTGCTTGGAATTTCCTAATGTATTATGCTTAAAAAAACTCAAATTTATAAAGAACAGTGAAATTATATCAGAATTAAATATATAACAGTGAAAACTTGTTTCACTTGTAAAGGTTGATATAATATTTTAGCAAGAATTTCGTAAAAGTCATTTGAAAGTTAATATGTTAATTCGCATATGCTTTTCTAATTCAGATAACGTTTGCTTCTACTTAGTTTTTTAATGACTCTCAACTTATCACACATTTACCAGAACCTCTGTATTAGATAAACTGGATCACTGGGAGAAGCCTTGTTTAGATATTGCAGTATTTTGCAATTATTTTGATGCTATGACCTACGTAAACCCTTCTAAACCGACTTAGCATCTATTTATTAAATCATAATTACGCACATGCGGACAAAAAATACTTACTCCCTATGTTTATATGAAAAAGAAAGATATTGAAAGGACACTATAATCTTCAGATACCGACCACAAGATTAAAAATAAACAAAGTCAATTTTCGTGATAGTCTCTTTCGTGATAGTAAGTAATAACATAGACTGCAAGTATTAACAGAATATCTTTATGGCCTACTTCAACAGCAGAATTGACGTAAGTGCAACGAACAGCAATTTTGTGGATATCTGCAGCGTACCGTACCATTTCTGAACTAACGGTGCAGGTGATTATTGGCAATATTCTCATTGATCTACAGGTTCAGTAACATAAAGCATATTGGCAAGGAAAGCAGATAGGTAACAATAATATCCACAGGTAGTCGATAAGTCGCCAGACCAAAGTGGTATGTCAGCAACATTGGGACTGAGATAACCGTGGATAATAGACCGCAAGACTCATCCTTGCCATTGAAATTTCAACAGCATATGCAAAATAGAGTCAACACATTGCATATATTGTGGAGCTGAGGATGATAGATGATAGGAGTACACGTTCTTTAAGTACAATAAATGGCTAACAGAACGAGAAGTGCTAGCAACGCAAGTTGGTGTTGTCTCCTCAAGAACAGTGGTAGAAAAAATTATAGAAAACAATACAAACTGCGATGAAACATAGAAATGTCTGCTGAAAAGATTCTGAGATTGAAAGAAGTAGATCTCGACAGAAGGGAACTGAAGCAAGCAGATGTATTACGCTAAGACGAATAACAAGGCTAACCACCTAAAGCAGCAGCGAATTCTGGATGGTCACCCCGATGAAAGTCTTAAATCACTAATGGAGACCCTTTTTCTTGGGCCATTTTTATACCATAATTTAACATGGAACTTTATGTAAGAATAAACAGATTCACTATGAAGAAGGCATCTTTAAACTTTCAAGACAAATCGATTCTTCTAATGAACATTTAACTAGGTGTGTTGTTGAGAGGACTAAAAAAAGAATTGACAGCAAACCACAAGCCAGAAGAACATTAATGCAGATATAAAGAGAGATTAGTACATTAATCTTTTGTGTGTCTCGGCGTGTGAGGGCTAAACTGGCGTCGATAGTTAGATCATTCCAAGTATCATAATAACATAACATATTAATTACTGTAGTATATCAACTGCAACCTTATATATAATTTCCTTATATATGGTCATGACAAATAACTAAATGAGTACTTTGTGGCGAAAACCAATAAAAACTAAAATAAAATTGAAGTGATTATTGACTAAGGCAATAACAACAAATTATGAAGCACGCAATGAGACATTAAATTGCATTCGTCTTAAATAATTGCACTATCTGAACAGAAATGCAATATTCTAGAATGTCTCTAAGATGATTAAATTTCTGTTTTTTATACATTAGATACAGATAGATAGATCTATACCTATATACGAGAACACATACGAATTATACAATTTTTATAAATTACATACTTAAGTGGTTAAGGAAAATGTAGTTTTTGTTGTAGTTTTTATTTAATTGCAGGCCGTCAATATAAATTATTATAATATTAAAAACAATTTAAATCGACTTAAATTGAGGCAACTATAAGCTAAACCTTTGCATTGCATTCAGTTACTTTTAATTATAATTTTTTCCAACAAATATTTATTGTTTATATTATAAACTACTGTTTTGATTGCATATAATTGGTTTTTTTTTATAAAATGAGGTCAATTTTGTCATATATAATTTGTTGCATATTATTTTAACTTTAATTGGAGTCTATAATTCAAAACAAGTCGAATATTAACATTAATTCTTTTAAAATGCACATTTCAAAAATGCAAATAATCAACTCAAAAACTCAATTAAGCTTTACGTTAGATTAATTAACCAGATCCGATCAACTAGAACTGGAACTAGAACTAGATCAACACGGAAACTAGATCTGTAGGTTATATATATTGAAGGTTGTATATATTGTTTATTAGTTCAATAACTTATCAATATAAGTGCAAATTTTTTTTAAATCTAGTCAATTATGATTTATATAGTCTATACTGGTGTATAGGCGTACCATAGGCAAATATATAGTTTGTCCCCTCGTCCATGGATGCAATTGATTAATGGCGAAGGAATGCGAATGTTTAGCGCTTTACTACTACTTCTTTTTTTTCATACTGTGTCATAGGCTGTTGGGTTGAAACTCTTTCCCGATGTAAATGTTACTAAAGAGATGTATATCGCCAAGCATGGTTGTTTAACTCACAGTAATCTATCAACAAACCTACTGACAGTAGGTAGACTCATAGTAACTAAATCGAATTGATATAATATCAGCATACCGTTGATCTCTCTCAACTTGTATTTATTTAATCAATAGTATTTTACTTTGTTTTTTGTTAAATTGGTTATTAAATAAACGATCAAAAAGCATATTGGGGTTGAGGTTTCTACGAGACCTCTTTTTTTTGTAAATAGTGTGTGCTGTATCATAGACTGCGGTTTGGTTAAGAAGAATCATTATTGCTTTTTATTTCAGTTGGTCTTCATTATCGGTTTAAAAGTCGCTGAAGAGAATATTTAATTCCATAGTATGGTTTTCTAACATACAGTAGCTCATTAACAAGTCCACTATACGACTAAAATCATTATTTATCATCTCAATGAAATTTCCGAAATTTTTCAAATAATATAGTATAACATATATATAGTATATGTAACAGTGTATAGTATACTATTACCATTTATTGATTGTTTACTATTTTGGAATTTAGAAATTAAATAAAAGTAGCATAAAAATTTTGATGAGATTGATCAATAATTTATACTTTCCTCATCATTGGCTATTGATATTTAATAAAATTTGCTTCAAAAAATGTGTATGAATAATAAATTTTATTTGTTTATTTTTATTGCTCTTATTAAACAAATTGTGTATTTTTATTTTACTCAATTAATATTTTAATTTAAGCATTTTTAAAACTCGTTTCTCATTTCTTTTTTTTTTTATTTTTTATATTTAAATAAACAAAATTCAATCGAAATGGCAGCGAATACAAGATAATTTTATTTTTTTTAAGTCTCTTCATCAATTCTGTTGATGTATTTAAAAAAAAAATAGCTGGCACAGAAAAAGAGTATTAAATTATGCAATATTTTTATTTGCAAACATAATTTATGAAAAAAAAAACACAGATGAATAAGTTTAGTTAAATGAAATTAATTAAGTTAATTTTAAATTGACAAATTAAGCATTTCGAGTCAACTGACAAGTGAACCTCAAAATTTGTTGAGTAGTGCAACTAATCGAGTTTTGTTTATTTATGTATTTTTTATATTTTACTAATATTTTTGTATCATTTTTATTATTTTTTTGTAATGTAGTTTTATTTTGATTTGCTCCGAAAATCAACTTTTTAGCTAATTAATGTTTATTGCAAAACAAGGCGTGTTCAGTCGGTCTTTATGAATTTGGTTCAGACCATTAGCATTTTTTTTGTGACTCAGTGAAATGATATTCACAATATTTTTGGTGTTAATTAAATTGATTATAATACTTTGAACTATCTATCAATTCAATTTTTTTTTAAACAATTTTTTTCAATGAATAAATATATAATTTATTATCAGCTAAGTATACTCACGTTATCAGCATTTTTGTTGATCAGATTTATTTGTTGTGGCTGTGGGGCGCTGATTTTCAAAATAAATTTTATTGAAGTTTCCTTCGCTTGCAGGGAACAGCGCAAGGAACTTTCTTTGTTAGGTCTAAATACTTATATATCCAAAAATTTTATTGAAAACATATATATCGGTTCTGTAAATTAAAAAAAGTTTTTTTTATGAATGTTTAAACGCTGAACGCTATTTCTAAAACACAAAGTCCACATTGGTGAGCCATATTAAGTAACCTATTTTTTGTATGTACAATGCTTTTTTTTCTAAGTGTCATTTCCTGTTTAAGTACACGTATTAAGAATTGATTGGAGTGACTAGTTTTTACATCTAATTGAAAAACAATTAGACAAGGGTCACATATTTGCGTAACCATTGCGAAAACTTATATTGTTTTAGTAATTAAACCTTATTATATAAATTTCGCAAAAAGTTTTAAACGAATGAGTTCATATTTTAAATTTGTAATTAATAGTTATAACAAATTACAAATAAATCGTACGAATGTATACAATAAATCACTATAATTCTAAAATGTACGATTTTAAATGGAACACCTTTAACGATTCCGATTTCCGCGGTGCTATGATTTATCAAAAGATTTCTACTAAATTTCAACATTCTGAGCAACTCATTCTACTAAATTATTGATCGATACAATTCTCTAGATATTGGGCTACAAAGTTACAATTTTTTACATAAAAAACACTAATAACAAAAAGATCCGCCATTAGCAGAGACTAAGAAGAAGAATAAGCTTAAATAAGAGATCAAAAAGCTTTTAGAATTTAAGTTTAGATATAATTTCACTTATGATGAAATATAGTTTCCTCATATTTGACTTTTTATCCAAAGTAAAGCTCAAGTATTTCTAGGTGTCTTCGATGTCTTTCAATGTGAATACTATGGACATGTAGACTTGATTAGTATTGATTATATTTCTTAGTAATGAATATCACTTTTATTTGCTCATAGTTAACGCATATTTGCATGATACTAATAGTATTGCTGGCTATATTTGCAAAATCAATTATATAGATATCACTGCTTTGATATATAAGAGTTTCTTGTAAATTTTCATAAAGCTATCCATCATTTTCATAAGATTCCAACGATAAAGCAAACGGTCTAATTTCGCGTTTAAATTTATATGGCATACATATCGATATCAAATACTAATAAATTTTTTTATATTCAAAATATTTATGAATTGGTTTTGTACAGAAATATTTCGTAATTTTTATTCAGTATTATAGTGCTATCAACTAGTACTTTTTTATCACTAATAATCTTAAGTCGAGGCTGACTACTAGTATTTTTTTTTTGTTTGTTAATTCACCTCTTGTTCATCTTCGTTTAAACTATTTGCTTTTTAGCTAACAGTTTGACTTTAAATTATTTTAGTATCTATACGAATATTTTAGTTAAGTTGTGCATCGAGCGTATGCATGTGTAAAGTGAAGGGGATTATATTATAGTCGATATAAACTTAATTCAGTAAGGCAATTGAGTATTACATTTTTATTGTACAATTCAAATGCTTTTACAAATGATATTCACAAGTACTGGCCATATAATCACACCCTGTACTACTAATCATTTCTATTCATTATAATAGAAACAAGTGCTGTTTACATCTTCTTATTATGCACATTTGTCCAAAGATCAGTCACTCAATGCTTATTTTGTTTTTTTTTTATTTACAAAAAATAAAAATAAATGTTCATATATATTGTAAACCAGAAATATGACGAATTTTGTTATAGCAAAAAACAAAAAAAAAATGAAGAAATAACTACAAAATTCACTTAACTTAGCAAAAAACTTCAACAAAAAATGTAAACAAAGCCAAAAAGTTAACGTGCCTGACATTGAATAGAATCCGTCAAATCAACAATATTTTGAATATTTAAAAAAAATTGTAGGTAATATTGTTCAATTTTTTTTTCCTTCAATAAACTTATAAGAGTGAAGTACTTTTTGAAGGTAATTGTATATTTTGTATTTACGTTAGCAGAAAATTTATGAACCGGTAAAATTTTTCTCATAATTTATTTTGTAATATATTTGACCTATTAGTTTTATTATTACATCTGCAACTTTCTTACAGAAGATTGTTAAAGATATTTCTCCTAAATAAGACTTCTTGATGCATTACCTTCTACTGATTGTTAAAGATATTTCTCCTGAAAACGAAATTTTGAAACAAAAAAAAATATTACAACATAAAAATTTTGTTGGCAATTTCCGTGAAATAATTATAGAAACTCCACCACTTAGAGTTGTAATTAAATTACAATAAATAATTGCTACACATCTGTATATTTCTGTTCACTTGCAAAGCGCTTGCAGCTTTCGTACTATAAAGTATCTTTTCCAGCACGCACAATTTCGATAGCCGCAACAAAAAGTGACAGTGTTTCCACATTTTTGGCCATTAAATGTGAGATTTGGCGGCAAGGTCAGCAACTAAATTTCGTTGCTACTGCAGACGTTGTAACTGTCAGCAGCAACTGACAGCAACAATCAACTACGAAACAAAGATATTTTTTAATTAATAATAGTTTTGCACAATTTTATTTTATATCATTTTTTTTTTATTTATTTATTTATTTTTTATTTTTTTTATTTATTTTTGTTTTAGTAAAAAATGCAATTTTGAAAATTTTTTACAAAGTGATTAGCTAAACGCCATCAAAGATACTTGCTGAGAGTGGAGTGGAAAATATTTATTTCACTCGCTTGTAAACAATGGAATTTTTATGCGGGGATATTTTGTTATTGTCTGGCTTTAGTGACTTTAGTGCTGTTGTCATAATATTATTGAAATAGTATAAGATTTTTAACCGGTTTCCATTCAGTTAAGAGCGTTAAGTTTACTCATGCATCTTGTTGCACTTAGCAGCGCCTTTTGTGGTCACCAGCAGCAGCGGCAACTGACGGCCGATAGCCACAAAATAGTTAAAAAAATTTATAATAAAAAACAATCCGTTTTGCGGTTATCGACAACAACAAACCATGCGGTCGTTATCAGACCATGTGAAATATATCGTACGTACGAGTAACTCAACTTTTAGTAAATATGTATTTACCAGTTTGCAATTTCATAGCCAATATTTTTTCCAAATTTATTTTAGTTGAGCATACCAACATCTTACATATATCAATGGTTGCACGCTTTAAGCTCTGGAATTTTCTAAGAATTATTAACTGCAGTCTCATGCAATCAATGAGATTTTCATTCTGTGGTTGTGACTTGCGAATAATAATGAGATATTTTTCAAATATTTACCTACGATAATTTGCTTATAGACTTTTTTAATTTAATTTTATTTTTCATTTATTTATATGCGCTACAGATATTTTTTCTCATGCATATACCGAAATCAAGTGATTTTTAATTAAAGGATGTTGGATGCCGGAAACTTAATTAGCAATGTTACAAAATTATTTAATTTATCATATTAAAAAATATTTTGTTCCAAATTCAAATAAGATTATGTAATAAAGTTGATTTTGCACAGACTTCACATAGACCATTGCGTCACATAGACCGTTGAGAGAAGAGTTTCACACACTCTCCTCTCATAAGCATATGGCTATTTATAGGATTTCTATATTACATATATTCGTGAGCCATGAACTACTTGCTTCACTTTAGCCCATTTAATTTTTTGAGAATTATGTTAGAATTTTGATCTCGAAAGAGGTTCTACAAGAACCTTTTTACTTCTTACTAAGGCTGGGCATCTACTCAATAGGTTAGAACATAATAGTATTTGCTCTTCCACTTGACAGAGACTACAAAGATTGACGATACAAACTTTAAATGTCTGTGTGTACCTGGTTGTGAGGCAATGATAGTTACTTTTTGGAAATAATATAAAAATGCAACCATATGGCACAACATAGAGATAAACGGTGATGGCATAAGAAGAAGTTCGACGAGAGAATTTAGAAATGGGGTTGTTACACAAATAGGACAATTGACACGAGTGACAATATTATATACACTAATGTTTGATATTAGTATGTTTAAATAAATCAATTACTATTTAGAAATAAATAACTTACTTGAGATATATTTTAGTATGTCTTCAAATACAATATCACTTTGTTCTGATATCCAGATACATTGTTGTGCTTTCCAACCCTCTTTCAGATATATTGCCGAAGGTAGATTCAATAAATACATACGAAATTTAGACTTTAATCATTGCTTGACTATCAGTAAAAAATCTAATACAATTTCTGATATATGTTTTTGTAATATAGTAATAGCGGTAACTTTTAGTGTTGTTAATTAACAAAATTAACAATTGGTTTTTGAATGAGACAAACTCGAATATGTGATGTGAAATTTATAATAGATATATTGGAGCATTTTTCTATATATTGAGCTTGCATTTCGTGTTTACAAATCCAATATCTGTAACTGGCTTTCATCAATAAAAAAATTTGTGAACCTAAGCACCTTCCAAAGTCTAACCTTTATCAATCACCATAAAACTGTTTATTCTTATATAATATAATCTATATAAAGATCTATATACCAGGATACTTCCTAAAAACAGACTGAAACTTATTTTTAATAAACTGATTTAAATATTGCTTTATTTTAGTTTTATCTTCACCTAACTAGTAGTAGTAGTAGTAGTAGTAGTACTAATCTAACTATTAAGTAACTCACTTAAAATCTTAAGACAGTAGTAATGAACTATAGAGAAAAATAGTTATTTTTACGTAATAAGAGATTGCCTGTTATATATGTTCATAATTTGGATTTATAAGTACAGTATCTGTGATGAAGATATATAAATGACATATAGCTAATTTATTTTTTTATTATTTTTTCTTAAATTTATGATCACCTCGATGAGTATAATAAATTATCTACATTCACCTTAAAGAAAAATAAAATTAATAATAATTAAAATAATAATAAAAATAAATAATCCGCAACGATTGTTTATAGATAACTGTTAAAAGAAACCCAAATCAATCAAGAGCCTTGAAGGTTCATAAGCGTTATTTTACAAGGTTCAGTGTAAACGTGTATTACTTGTACGTTCTTAAAGATACAATTTAATCAGATGATTTTATGTGAGGAAAAACCCATAGGTTTCAAGTAAAAATTAATAA